TTTAATACCCCGAACGCGATCAAAAGCCTCATCATCAATTACAACGGAGACGTTCTTATTTACTCGATTCCGCGAAATTACCATAAATTTAGTTTTACTTATATTCAATTTGAACTGCTTATACTTCAAACATCAACTTAGAGAACGCATATCTTCATTCAAGTGTAAAACGGCATCATCTAAATCCTTAGCTGCAATGAATAACACAGTATCATCTCAAAAAGATTAATGTCGCAAAATCGTAAAACACGTCGCAAGTCATTAATATACATAATAAATAAATACACTTCCCTGGGGCACTCCAAGGTTATTCCTTACGGCACTGGAAACATAATCATTAAAAACAGTCCGTTGAGTTCTGTCAGACAAATAGCTTTCAAACCATTTACATGCAGTACTCGTAATTCAGGGTTCAAACATGTTATTGTTCGTATATGCCAGTTTCAGACGACTGGAGATCTGAACAAAAAGCGTGGATGCTATGAATTAGAGAGGGTCTAGTATAAGAGAGGAGCGGATTCAAAACAAACTGCCTTAGCAACCCATGCCTAGGAGATTTCTAGCAACACTGCTAATACAATCATGATAGGCGCTGCTCGATTGGCTCTGACTTTAACAGTTCGTTTGGCTCAAAACCAGGCGGCCCACCCTTTTTTTATACTAGACCCTCTCTACTATGAATACACACTTAGAAAAAATCATGTAAATTTAAGTGTTCTGAGACTGACATATACGAGCGTCAATTTTGACATACAATTGAGATTTTTTTAGTCTCGGAGCGCTCAATATAGCATCACATTACACATGTTTGTTTATTTCCTATAATTTATGTGAAAGATGGATTCCGTCATGTGTAAAACTAGTTATTTCTACGCGTGTAGAATGCTACAAATTAAAAAAATGAACTTCTCAAGTGACCTATTCTGCCGATACTCGCATATCAGTCCTGTTGCGATAGTTTGGAAGCAAAACACTGAAATTCTGCTAGCTGTTACTTACAGTGTTTTGCTTCCAAACTATCGCAACATTTTCTTCAAAGATTTCAGTATTAGAATAAAAAATGTAGATTCCAACTATCTTATTTTAAACTTTAGATTTAGGTAGTGGTGAATGGATTTATAATATTTACATTTTACTAATCCAGACCACTATTCTAGTTCTAATTAAAGGCAATTAGGTTTATATCAATATTAAATAATTCCACAAGCAAATGAATTTCACTTTGTGTTAACGTGGTTCTTAGAAAAAAAAACTTTTGATTACTGTTTCCGATTTCAACGTTTGTCATTCCTGATACGATATGTCAGTCGACCAAGTTGAGGGTGCCCGGTCGCACAATCGCCTGGTGACGACCCAGTGGTTGTCGCAACATTCCCCGACCCGTGTGGTCCGGGACTACCGAAGACGTCCAGGACAGCAATCTTCGCTGATGGTCGCAAGATGATCCCTTTCGCTGTTAGAATCCTAGCCTTCCTCACCTGTCCATCTTGAGCAACGCAAACCTCCATGATCCTCCCTCTAATCCAGTGATTCCTCGCCGTTTCATCACCACCACCGGTAAGTACTCACGAGTCCATCGGCGCCAGAATTCATCGATCATCCATTGAGCTAGCTTCCATCTATCTTTCAGCGCGCTACGATGGTCTACTGGCTGCACTTCTGGTTGATTTACTTCCTGTGTCCCATACAACAGGAAGTGATTCGGCGTAAGTGCTACTTGATCCGCCGAATCGAGAGCGATGTAGGTTAGAGGACGTGAGTTGACGACTAATTCGGCTTCTAGAACAATGGTTTCGAAAGTTTCCTCGTTCGGTTGTCGCAGTCCGTTCCCAATGGCAAACATGGCTGTTTTTACGGATCGTACCATCCGTTCCCATAGAGTGTATCCCATTAGGCATAACTACGTTAGGCATACGGACGTTAGGCATAATGGACATTAGGCATAAAGTCATTAGGCATAATGGACGTTAGGCATAATATACGTTAGACATAATGGACGTTAGGCATAAAATACCTTGCTGCTGTGCAACTCTAGAAGCCTTCTTAACCTGTAAACCTGTAAACAATGCTTAAATTAGGCTTAGCGTTGAATAAAAAATTATACAAGTTAAACAAACATAGTTTATTTAATAAGCACAGTTTGGAATCCATTATTTATCATATCATAAGTGACGTATCTACATATTTACTTAGATCCATGATTAGTAGCGATAGCGGTTAAGTAATCTTACAATGAAAACTCAGCTTAGTTTTTCAACTACATCTTGAAATCAATCGCATCTAGAAATAAAAAAATCACACATTTGTTGTAATATATTCTTACACACATATTGCAAAAGTCAAAGAAGAAAAGGTTTTCCTCAAAGAACAGCTCATGAAATAAAGAATGGTGAATTCTGTGATTTTTCATTCAATAACAAAAAAACAGCCAAGGTTGAATAAAATATGATGCCAAAGAACAGCTAATGAAATGAAGAATGGTGAATTCTGTGGTTTTTCATTCAATAACAAAAAAACATACCTGCTTCTGCCAAGATTTCCTGCCATACTTTTCGATACAATGATTCTGTTTTCTTGTCATCAGAATGAAAACTAGCCGAACCGTCTGCTGATGTAAAGGAGCGATACTTCCATGAACAGTGACGAGTTGCCGAAACAAACAAGGAACTGTGGCAAACGTACCATCTGTAACCCAATACTTTGCCTGTCCAAGACGTCGTTCATGAGTTCCAAAAATTAAGGCTCTTTCATTATTGTCACCGAAGTCAGCAATCAATAGACGGTCTCCATTATCATCCTTCTGGAATTCAACCGGTAGATTATGCCTAACGTCCATTATGCCTAACGTCCTTTATGCCCAACGTCCATTATGCCTATCGTACATTATGCCTAACGTCCATATGCCTAACGTACGTATGCCTAACGTCCGTATGCCTAACGACCGTATGCCTAACGTCGTGCACCCGTTCCCATAGGCCACCCATGTGTGGTGCTGCAGGTGGATTGAAAACCCATTTTGTGCGCGCGTTGGTGAATGTCGAAGCGCAGTTTTCATTGATCTTCTTGATTTCCATCTTTAGTTTCTTGGTAACGGTGCCATCTTAGGGATCCGAGGAATCGCTTTGGAATTCTTGCACCGCTGACATTCGGCAGCTACCTTTCTCACCAGTCGTCGCAAAGCAGGAACGTAGAACCTTTGGCTCATGTAATTGAAGACCGTCTCGTTGTTGGCGTGAAGCAGACGTTGATGGTAGCTGTCAGTAAGAAGGAAGGTTATCGAATGCTTTTTCGGCAAGATAATGGGGTACTTAGCTTTGTATGGGGCGAATGGAGCAGCCCCAATACGACTGCCCATTCTAATGACTCCCAATTGATCCATGAACGGCGACAGCTTATAAAGTGGACTCGATTTTTCCACCATCGGTTCGTTCTCTCCATCTCCTAGCAGAATTTCAGTGTTTTGCTTCCAAACTATCGCAACAAGTCCCATTTGGTTTTCAACATTTGTCATGTCTTGTCATATTTGTCCCATATTGAAAGCATCCGCATATCAGTCCCATATTGAAATAACATAAATGTGTATATATTTCGAAAGCTCTAATTGCTATCCAAAACCGTTTAAACATCACAAATCGGTTGAAAGTTTATTGAGTTACTCGTGATAGTCATTTACCCTAAATTGGTTTTTAAACACAAATTTTAGATTTTGTGGGAGTTAGAACAATTTCAAATGTGATTTCATGGTGTACTCGACTTAACAATAGGTCACTTGGAACACTACAGATGCCGATTATTCAACAGGACTCAACGAGAATCTAGATGACAAAGATTCAGCAGCAAAGACACAATACATAAGCGGTGAGATCAACTTAATATAAAAATATTAAATGCATCCTACTAAATACATGCCATCTACAAAGCAGGAATTGCTTTGATGATGGAAGTGTACACGCAGTACCAATATACATTTTATATCGGTACTACGTGTATACGGGGCTTGTTGTAAGTGAAAGTAACCTCGGAATGGACGTGAGTGACCAGGCATTCTGAAATGGGTTACTGAATCTCAACAGAGCTATCACCTTTCCACTTCCGGGCTAAAATTTTTTGCAATGGGATCAGTATAAGATAATAATAGATTATATTGCAAACATTTTTCTTCCATAAAAACACTGCCGGACAGTGGAAGTTGGATTGTATATACATACATACATACATACATAATAGATTCACATCCTCAACTTTGATTCTGGAAGCCTTACAATGCACAATAAGGAAAACTGGACGGAAAAATACTTTTTATTTAGTAGCATTTCCGAAACTTGCTAAAACAAAACTATGGTTCATATAATTTATATCAATATAAAGGTTAACAACTTGTGGAATCGAATGGAAATGGTTTCATCCTTGGAAGAATACAGGAAGTAAGAGGTTTTGGTTTTTTATTCCCAACGGTAAATTTTTTTAAGGAAGGAAAAGCAAAAACTCAACTTCCTGTATTCTCCCCAGGATGAAACCTACGTTGTATCCGTTGTTTACCTACGGAAATGATATGTTCTATATTTTTATTTCAGTGAATTTCAGTGGTACACAATTAAATTTATTTTACTGATTATTTTTCCCCATTGTGCAATAATGGTTGTCGGTGAAGCAAAGAATTGTATATTTGACTATGGTGTTCATTTTTAAACTAGTTAACGGTTTACTGCCTCGATATTTGTGTGATCGAATTGAAAGAGGAACAACTTTTGTTCGAAAAAAAGATGAATCTATGCAGATTTCACAGCGTCGTAAGCAGCAATCTATTGTCATTCTTCCACATATCAAACTATATGTATTCGACTTCAAATCAACGAACAAATCAAATTCACAAATCAAGCATCAACGAAGTTGAGCTACCACCCGACTACGTGTTGATTTCGCTCGATGTCAAATCGCTTTTCACATCGATCCCCATCCCACTTATTCAACACGACATCATCATGCGATGGAACGAGATAATGCCACACACGAACATCAACCTGGATCTGTTTCTGGAGCTGGTTAACTTCTGCGTAGGATCCAGCTATTTCGTATACGATGGGAAGTACTACGAACAGGTGTTTGGAACGGCCATGGGCAACCCACTATCACCCATAGTTGTTGATCTGATAATGGAAAGCCTATTAGACACTACTATGCGCAAGTTGAACTTCAAACCACCGTTCATTCGCAAATATGTGGATGACCTGATAACAGCGATACCACTTGAAAAACTACAGCATATTCTGGACGTATTTAACAGCTATGACGTTCACATCCAGTTCACACACGAGTTGGAAGTGAACAACAAATTACCGTTTTTGGACATGTTACTCGTCAGACAGGACAACCAGCGGATAAAAACAGAATGGTACATGAAACCCATCGCCAGTGGACGTTTTCTTGATTTCCTTTCGTACCATCCCATGAGCATGAAACTGAATGTTGCCAAAAACTTCATCAGCCGAGTCTACCGACTATCCACCAACCAATCAGACGAAGAAAAAGCAAACATCATCGACAACCAGCTCAGACTCAATCACTATCCTGCTCATCTACGACACCGTCTGATAAATCGCATGACCGAACATCGCCAATCGCCTAGCATAACATCAGCCGACGAGGATCAACAACAGCAAACACCTCCAGTCCGGCAAGACACAGCACCATCCGAACAATCTACAGGATCCAACCAACAGCACCTGGAACATACTTACCGGTCAATGGTCCACATACCTCATCTCTCGAGCAGAATCGAAAGGCAGCTAAAACGAGAATATCAAAACATACGTCTGGCGAATCGAAATACCCACACTGTCAACAATACTTTCAGCAAGACTAAGGACCCAGTTCCTCCTGGACACCAAACAAACGTCATATACCAGATACCATGCAAAGACTGCCCTGCATGCTATATTGGGATGACGAAAAACAAACTCGACACCAGAATGTACGGACATAAATCACATTAGAACACTTTAGATGCACTACAACAAACCAAAACCAATCTCCAAGACCCAAGTTTCACGCAGCTAGCTGAGAAAACAGCACTTTTGCAGCACAGCATCGATAACAACCACCGTTTTGATCTAGGGAAAGTGAAAATTATAGATATACACGAAAAAGAATACGCATTACCACTATTAGAAATGTGTCACATTCACAATAGTCAAAACAGTATAAACAAACGTACAGACACAGAAAGTTTGAACGTAGTATATGCGGGGTTTTTACATGCTCTCAAAAACAACACAAATATTAACACAATCAATAGCAGACAAACCACAACTCAATAACAGACTATACAGACAAAATATCTCAGAAATACACACAAACAGAAAGTGAGAAGCAGCACAATTGCCACACGCGTTTCCCATCCGACCGCAAAACTTTATCTTAAAAAGCACAGTTGCTTAGGTAGTGTTTTTAAAACTAAGCGAAAAAAAAGCCTAACGTAACAGGGAAACACAGAGTTGTGGAAACGCGCTTAGTAAGTTGGGTGTAGAGTAGAGCACAACAAGAATCAAATCTAACCGAATTTGTATTATAGCCGTAGATGGAAGCCATAATTAATCAAAGACGGATTTATGTAAAACCACGCATACACTTAACAAAAAAACGTAGCCTCTGTAAGCCACACAACCAACACAGTACCTATCCAATTTTCTAAATCCTCTTAATTGTAGAAATCCTTGAAAATGGTGAAATATATCACCGAAACGTCGGAGAGTTGAAGCAATACAACGTTTTTGCTGCAGTAAAAAGACTGAAAGAGCCGTTAAACCCTTCAATCAATCCCTATAACACACCTGTCGCAAGCTCTCAAACTTTCAAATTTCTTTAAGTTGTGAATAATCAAATTAACATTTTCATGAAAAGTACATACACACACTTAATGTGTCCTTGAACTAGTTAACAATTTACAGCTCTTAGGCCAGGTTGAAAACCCAATTTGCACTTCACTTTATACTTTGAAAAAAGTGGTCGCCATCAACCTTTTTTGAACTGACTGACACTTACCATCTTTTCTTATTGTTACACAATCACGGTGCCCAGGCATTGCTTGGCTGGTTTCATCGTGAAGTAATGAAATTGGGTTGTTAGCAGAATGCTTAAATAAAACAGAAAAAAGGGGTTATCTTTTTTGTTTATTATTAGTTTCGTAGGTTCCGATTCTACACATTGTAGTTTCATTTTTATACCAATAATTTAATTAAAATCGTCAGTTTTGCTATCATCTAAGATAGTCTCTGACTTAAGTGCAAATATGTGCTGTCTAATGCTTTGATTAGTTTCATGATACAATGCCTTTCCGTTTTTGGCAACACTCATTTTTGCCTACCTCTGGAAACACCCGTTTTTGGCAACAACTTCTTCCCGTTTTTGGCATCAAATTTATAACTACATATAAAACTTGATTCTTCGTAGTCTTATCCTGGTCCCACATCCCTCAGGATTGCACCTGCATCACAATGTTACGTCAATTCACTCGGTCCGTGGCTTGTTGTCTCCAATTTCTTGACAGTCCCACACTTCCAAGATCCTGCTCCACTTGGTCTAACCACCCTGCTCGCTGTGCTCCTCTTCGTCTTGCACCGGCCGGATTCGAGGCAAACACCATTTTTGCGGGATTGTTGTCCGGCATTCTTAAAACGTGTCATGCCCATCGTACCTGTCCAGCTTTCGCAACTTTCTGGATACAGGGTTCGCCATAGAGTTGCGCCAGCTCGTGGTTCATCCTTCGCCTCCATATACCGTTCTCACATACCCCGCCAAAGATGGTCCTATGCGCTCGTCGTTCGAAAACACCCAGTGCTTGCAGGTCCTCCTCGAGCATCGTCCACGTCTCGTGCCCGTAGAGAACTACCGGTCTTATCAGCGTCTTGTACATGGTACATTTAGTACGGAGGTGAAGTTTACCCGACCTCAGGGTCTTGTGGAGTCCGTAGTAAGCACGACTTCCGGCAATAATACGCCGACGAATTTCTCTGCTGCAGTTGTTATCCGACGTCACCAATGATCCGAGGTATACAAATTCATCCACCACCTCGAACTCATCCCCGTCGATTGTCACGCTTCTGCCTATACGAGCCCTATCCCGCTCGGTTTCTCCAGCTAACAGATACTTTGTCTTCGACTTATTCACCTTTATCCAACCTTCTCTGCTTCACGTTTCAGCCTGTTGTACTGCTCCGCCACGGCCACGTCGTCAGCGAAGCAGATGAACTGGCTGGACTTATTGAAGATCGTGCCCGCATGTTAAAGCCCACACGTTTCATAACATCTTCTAGCACAATGTTGAACAGAAGGCAGGAAAGACCATCGCCTTGTCGAAGTCCTTTGCGAGTTTCAAACGAGTCCGATAACGCACTCGATATCTTCACGCAGCACTGTACACCATCCATCGTAGCCCTGATCAGTCTGGTCAGCTTCCCGGGAAAACTGTTCTCGTACATAATCTTCCATAGCTCTTCACGGTCAATAGTATCATAGGCGGCCTTGAAATCGATGAATAGGTGGTGCGTAGGGACTTGATATTCACGACACTTTTGGAGGATCTGCCGCAACGTAAAGATTTGCTCCGTTGTCAATCGCCCGTCCACAAAACCGGCTTGATAACTGCCCACAAATATGCTTTCTAGCGGCGATAAACGGCGAAAGATGATCTGGGAAAGCACTCTGTAGGCCACGTTAAGAATAGTGATCGCTCGATAGTTCTCACATTCTAGTTTGTCGCCTTTTTTATATACTGGGCATATTACTCCCTCTTTCCACTTATCCGGTAGCTGTTCTGTATCCCAGATCCTGACTATCAGTCGGTGCAGACAAGTGGCCAACTTATTCAGGCCCATTTTGATAAGTTCTACTCCGATACCATCTTTCTCAGCTGCTTTGTTGTTCACCTATCGTGGGAGCTGGCATGTCCCCCTCATCCGCTGTACCGACGAAGCCATTCCTCCCGCCGCCTTGAACCTCCGCCGCTGCGCCGTTCAGATCTCCATCGTAGTGCTGCTTCCACCTTTCACTCACCTCACGTTCGTCCGTTAAGATTCCCCCTTCCTTATCCCGGCACATTTCGGCTCGCGGCACAAAGCCTTGGCGGGATGCGTTGAGTTGTATAACTTGCGTGTTTCTTGAGAACGATACAGCTGCTCCATTTCTTCGCACTCCAGCTCTTCCAGGCGGCGCTTCTTATCCCGGAAATGATGGGTTTGCTGTCTTCGCCTCTGTTTATATCGCTCTACATTTTGACGGATTCCTTGCCGCCCGCACTGCGTTCTTCTCGTCCAAAACCGTCTGACACTCTTCGTCGAACCAATCGTTCCGACGATTCCGCTACACGAACCCAACGGCGCCTTTAGCAGCACTATTAATGGCTGCTTTCACGTTGCTCCAGCAGTCCTCAAGAGGGGCTTCGGTGACCTCTCCCTCATCCGGCAACGCTGCGTCGAGGCATTGCACGTACTCAGTTGCGACTTCGGGCAGCTTCAGTCGCCCCAGATTGTACCGTTGCGGGCGTCAGTACCGAATGTTGTTTGCAACGGAAAGTTTTTGGCGCACCTTGACCATTAGAAGGTAGTGGTCCGAATCGATATTTGTGCCGCGATAGGTCCTGACGTCGATAATGTCCGAGAAGTGCCTTCCGTCGATCAAAACGTGGTCGATTTGCGATTCTGTCTGCTGCGGTGATCTCCAGGTGTACCGATATGGGAGGCTATGCTGGAAGTAGGTACTACGTATGACCTCCTGACCGACCTGAGGGTTAAGATCTCCGATGACGATTTTGAGGTCATGGCTTGGGCAGCTGTCGTATTCTCATTCCAGCTGCGCGTAAAAAGCGTCTTTATAGTCATCGTCACTTGCTAAGTGAGGGCTGTGCACGTTGATTATGCTGACATTGAAGAAACGGCCTTTGATCCTCAACTTGCACATTCTGCTATCGATTGGCCACCACCCAATCACGCGCTTTTGCATTTCGCCCATCACGATGAAAACTGTACCCAGCTCATGTGTATTGCCGAAGTTCTGGTAGATGGTATAACTATCCCTATACGTATGTACCGACGATCCCATCCAGCAAACCTCCTGCAGCGCTACAATCTCGAACTTGCGGACCCTCAATAAATCGGAAAAAATACGGGTACTTCCCAAGAAATTGAGAGACTCGCAGTTCCATGTTCCGAGTTTCCAATCGTTAGTCCTTTTCCGTTACTTGGGTCTACGCCGATTGTTCCGGTCCGTATTTACATTGCTTGCTTCCTGTACTAATGTTTTTTTACGGTTGGCTTGTAGAGCCTGCACCAACCCCCATTGTCTCGCCGGGGGACCATCGTGCACAGCACTGTTTAGAGTCCCACGCTGGCACCAGGACATTAATCAGCCGCTTCTAACATGGAGAACAGACGCCGTTTTGAGCCGCACCTCCATGGTGAAAAGACACTCGAAGACTGCACTCTCCCGAGAGAGGAGTCCCCCCCCCCCCTTCCCAGTCAGCATACGACCAAGGACCCAAGGTTACGCGATCTTCCCTATGGTTATTCGTACCCCAGCCGGCACCGCGGGGAGGTAGGGATAGGAGTTACTAGACAAAAGGCTAAGGACCGCTAGTGGGGTCTATTTTATACCTGCAGATACGCGAAGTATCAATGGTACACATTTTCCAGCCGTTTACCAGCCTAAAAATCATGATATTTCTGCACAGCATAATTTACAGAACTCATTTTCTTCAGATCAATTGGTGATGTCAAAATAAAAGATGTAGATTTTTTGACGTAGACTACGTCTTATGGGAAGGTACTGGGGGTAAATCAAAAATCGAAAATTGCAACCGTCACGAAAAGG